TTGATCGCCCAATTCATTCAGTCACACAAAACAGCAGAGATTCTTTTGTGCTGTCCCAGCAGCCGCACTCAGGCACTCAGGCATAATTCCTGCAAAATCTCCTTTAGATCATGAAAGCTTCAGAGCTTCTTCCAGATGTTGCTCTTGTGATGAGCCCTATGGTCTCTTTTAATCATTCTAGAGCTATCATGCTTCCAAGTTCATGAAATGGCCATCCCATATGCCTTTATAGGGAATCTTGTTCCGTTTAGGCATCCTCCAAGCCCAGGTATCTGCCATATGCCCAAGGATGGCATGGAAATTTGCATATGCCCACAAAGGTCATCTTGATGATTTACATCAGGCAAGGAGGCAAGAGGGAGAAACAATGAGAAAAAAAACTTATCTCATCTCATCTAACAACGTCGCCTGCGCAATCACCTGGTTGATCACGCCATCCACAATCTCTCGTCTCAGCTCTCCAAAGAACGCCGCAACTTCCTCATGCAGCAGCTGGAGTGACTCGTCACCACATCCGGCAGCCCGGTAAAGAACGCCCATCTTCGACAGCGTCTCGAAGTTCCTGGGAGCAGTCTCGTGCAGGATTCTCAAGTAGTCGCCCGCGCTCGGAAGCTCCGGATGCTTGAGCACGCAGACCGCAGAGTAACGCTCCACCTGTGCCGCACGGATGCAATCCTTCTCCTCGTCGCTGAAACCCCTCGCAGTCATCCTATTCTCCAAGTCCAAAACTTCGTCGAGGGTCTTCTCCGCGTCACCTCGACGACGATCTTAGAACTTAAAGCTGGCGAGAAGATCCTTGTTCGTCCTCTCCAAGATGCACCGCTTGCAAGAGCACCCAAAGTCGAGGCGCTTGCACTTCACCTCCCGCGCCGGCAACGGAGCCAAGAGCAGTGGTTCCATGCTCCTAGTCGCCTCGAGATAAGAGAGCAGAACCTCGTCTCCGGCACTCATGTTCCTGGCAGCCCGGATGAACATCACGCGTCCGAAGCACACCTTGGAGGCATTGGGAGTGCACGAGTGATTGAAAAAGCCGCTCGAGGCCCAGACTCCGGCGATCCAGGCATCTCCGGCCTGGGTGGTGAAGCCGCACCGGTGGCCAACTCGTCTCACTCGCTCGATATCCCGGCGGTACCACAACTCTTCCAATGTTGCACTTGAAGCGATCCAATCGTCATCGTGCTCGCGTCCGCCATCGGTACCGTGGCCTGCTGGAAGTGCCGCAAGATCGTAACAGCTCCACGTACAAATCCCTGTCCGCGTTCTCGATCCTCGGAGTCTTCCGTACGCAGTCGGGTTGCAAACGATGAGCAGCTCCCCCCGCCTCACGTCCCGAGTGAGATACACACCTTCTCCTCGACCGTCCGGAGTCATCCTCAGCTCCAGAGGTCCGAAGTAGTCACTACACTCAGGTTCCACCTTCCGGCCCAGCACGAAGTTCGTGATATCGTACTCACCGTCCCGGCTCTCCCGCAAGTAAGTCCTGGATCTCTCCAAGTCGATCGAGACGTCAGGCGGAGCGTCCGGCAGCGCCACAGACGACTGGAAGCATGGAAGTGCGAGCTCGTGCTCCTGGAGCGCGGTCAGGCTCTTGCCTTTGCACCACAGGCTCCGTGCATGGTGGCTATCGGACGCCCCCGGGATCTTGGTGGCGGTCTCGGCGTCCACAAAGGGCTCCTCGTACCGTCGCAGCCGGAGCTTCGCCTCGGCTCTCCTGGACAGGACTTGCTTCTCCAAGACACCGTAATGTCCAGCAGCTCGGTGTAGTACAGCTCGGCCAGCACGTAGCTTCCTCGACTGAGCAACGCGTTGGCTTCCTTGAGGAGCCTCCCGAGCGGCTTGGCGCTGGCGGCTCTCGCGAATCCCAGGAACTCCACGGACGCGGGGCTGGAGCAGACGAAAAGCACAGCGGCTCTTTGATGGCAACTCTGGCATTTGGCGGAAACAAGAGCTCGCCATCTTCCTGCCTCGAGGTGGAGGCGACGGCATTGAAGACGTGCAGCAGCGCACAGCCGCGGTTCCTCCTCCGACTCCACGAGGCACAGCACCGCATTGGCGGCCGGGAGAGCTGCGGAGGTGCATATGTTAGCATACACTACGCGACCGTGATAGCAAACGTCGCGGCTGAGGCAGGCGTATGTTCCCAGGACACTTAAGTTCTCGCGAAGTATGATCACCGGAACGTGGATGGATTCCCGACGAACATGGCGTACGGAGGTGCCGGTAGCTACGCGCTCGCGGAGGACGATTGCCTGACAAAAATGTCTGCGCCCCCTGCTCTTGACTTTGGCAAGCTTGTCACCAACGAAGCGTCCCCATTTGGGACGCAACCTCCAGAGACCATGCTCTCAAACAAGGAAAGCGTGTTTCTGGAAGAACAAAGTATCAGTCCGTAACCAACGTAGGAGTAGACTCACGATTGCAAGGAGCTATGTTGGTCACTGTTCCTTTGATCGGCCCAGAGTTTCCACAAGCAAGCGAGACAATGATGCCTTTCTCCAGGGCCATCATTCTCCAGGGCATGGATGTCGACGAAATGCCTCATACCTGTTACAGTGTACTAGCACTGAAGTGTTTGTTTTCGGATCATTTACGCAAGAGCTATACCTGTGCACTGTGTAAGAGTGTGATCCAACAATCATGTCCATACCTGTCTCAAGGACTCCAATTGTCACGTCGCTGGAGGTCTCACCCTGAATTTTATGCTCAGACAAAGTTACTGCTTTCGACTCTGGGACCTGAAAAAAATCCCACGACCGAGTTGACGAGCTTTGTTGGGATGAACAGTGAGAACACTTCTGGCATTCCACCATCACTAGTGCTTCTCGGCAATTCGCACGGCATTGAGAGCTACTTGTCTTTAATTGCTGCACACGAAGATGTCTAGCCTGAGAGAAAATGTGAGCATTTTTTTGGATAAGCAAAAGAGAGAACCCATTTTGGCCATTTTGAGAGAGATCACGCCTTATCCTTCCCATAGCAACATCATCCATGCTTGACACTTGGCTTAAACAAGTGAAAACTCTAGTCAAATGGAGTATGGAAACCACTACCTTCAATAGCCCCACCATCAACCACTGTAACCCCAGTTGTGCTCGACAGTATTTGTGTCACAGCTACTGTGCCACAAATGCACTAGATTCAAAACCACTTTGATAAACTCAGATCTTCACTAATCTGGAAGAATCAAGCATTAAAAAAAGTGAAAAAGCTTGAAAAGAAGCACCTATGGCTATTTTGTGAGATTTCCTACACCACTTGGCTGCAAGCAAGAAGCAAAAGAGTAATTAGGAAATCTTGATGTCTAGAAGCCCTAGTGGAAGTCGCAGTGGAAATCTCATAAAATAAAATAAAATAAAATAGTTAATATAAAATAAAATATTTAGAAGTATTAGATTACATAAACAAATAAACCTTCTGTATATGATGCTATTGCTGTGAGATTGCCAAAAGTTATTAGTTTTGTCAAATGTCTCGGTTGGGCATTTTAAACTTAAGTCCTGCAAAAGCGAGACAAGACAAATGAATGCCATGACAAATCAATGAGAAACAAAAAAAACATACCTCAAATTCCGAACATTAATTATTGTTACATTGTATAAACCCACATCCATTGTGTTGAACTCCCACAAGGGGATTACAATACCATTACCTTTATTAACATTAATTATTTTTTTGTTTTAGATAATAAACATTAATTACATCTAAAGTGATTATCTATTAACAATTTCTAATTTTTATGTCTTTGAAGTAATGGGCAAAAACTTTTCAAAACAAAATGTGAATAAAGCCATGTCAAAATCTTTAAAAACAAAAATATAAAACAATTAAACAAGTTAAGTTGAGCAAGTATTTATCATTAGTTTTCACAGTTTCTCACAATCGTCATCCAAAGTAGACACTTTCCAATAACGTTCTGTTGCACTTTAAGAAAGGCTTCTCGTAACATTTGATGAAGATTGTTATGGAGCAGAACCATGCGATAAGGCTGTTGTATCAGTGGACCATCCATTTCCTACACATAACAAGAAAGTTTAAAGATTATCAAATTAATTGTACTAATACAAATCCTCCAAAACAAATGATGTTTTTTAAATTTCTTCAAGTATGTACATGTTTTTGATATTTATATCAACAATTTCTCCAAATTTAAATTAGTTTATTATATAATTAGTAATTTATATTTAAAAATAATAGCACTATTTTATTTTCTTTCTTGCATCAAATAATCCTTTATCTGGTTTTTAACTTAAAAAATTTATACTCTAATTTATTTATTTTAAAATATTTACTTAATATTTAATTTATTTGTGCTTAGGAAATTGATTGATCTAGTGTGCTGTTGGCACTCTGATTGTCATGCCCAATGCCAAGATGTAGCGCACCTTATCTCTTTCCCTTTAAGCCAACTGAAAAAGGGGCAATTGCTTGATGAGAGAGCTCTTAGTGGCTATTTTATCCCTATTTATCCCCCAAAGTTCTAAGATCAGAGATTAGATCGCATGATCAGAGATCAGAGCTGGAAATCAAGAAGCACACAGACAGCAGCTGCACAAAAGAAAGCGACACACAGAGCTAGAAACAAAGGAAAGCTCAATACTTCACTGCATAAAAGAGGATTGGAGCTGGAAACAAAGAAAAGCTTGATACTTTGCAGCACAGAAGAGGAGCGAAGCTGGAAACAAAGGAAAGCTCAATAGTTCACTGCACAGAAGAAAGCAAAGCAGGATCAAAGCTGGATCAGAGTTGGCAATGTTTCTTCTGCCACGGAAGGAGCTGCATTTCTTCAAAGGTATAAGAGGATGTATTATTGTTAATTGATAAGCACGTTAAGCTAAACGCTGGGTATCTTCAAAAAAGTTCTTACGTAACTTTGATTTTCTATCTCTTTAAATGTTTTTAGTTTAAAAATGCCTGCCACGTCACTTGGGTCAGCCATGCCAACGCACTCGATTGCTTTAATGACGTGGCAGGTTTCCTGGCTGGCAACTATCGGGCGAAGTGGCGCATCTTCCACGAGACGAGGGGGGAGGACACGCGCAGTACGTGTTATAAAATTTTCTCTTCTCTCCACTTCCCTGTTCTCGCGCTCTAGGTCAAATATTTTTGGTTGCATCGATCGATCGGTCGCTTCCTGGGCCCGTAATATCGATCGATCGCGTAACGCTAGGATCGCTTATGGCAGCAAGGAGGATCGGCATTGGGAGTCTCCGCAAATTGCAGCGCCACCGATTCCCCATCGCCGCTGCCGCCGTCGTCGATCGCGCCGTGCTGCTGCCGGCGCAAGATCGTCGCGCCGAGGTATTTGACCGTCTTGGAAATCTCGCAAAGAATCGCCAGTCGCTGTGCTACCACTACTCCACCTCCGCTCGCATCGACGACGCCGACAGCTTCCATCCGGCGTTTGAGGATGACGCAAGTGGCGGCGGCACAGCGGTGACGCCGGATCTGGAAAGACCGAATGCGGAGCTTCTTTTCTCCCGCATGAGCTCGGGCGAGCTCCTCAAGACGCTGCTCAATCTCCAGGTGATGGCCTGTGGCCCGCTGGTGGACGTGGGGATCAAGGTGCTCAAGTCGCCCGTGGCGAATCACAGGTTTCTCAAGAAGCCCATCGAGTGGTGCGTCAAGAGGACGATCTACTCCCACTTTTGCGCCGGGGAGAACGCGGCGGAGGCCTCCAGGACGCTCCAGAAGCTGTGGGAGCTGCGACTCCGGGGAGTTCTTGATTCGGGCCTTGAGGATGCGGCAGACAACGCCTCCTGCGACGAAAATCTCCAGCAATTGCTCGCTACTATCCGGGAAACCATTGCTCTGCCACACGGATCGGTACGTTTGAATTCTTCTTCCTCTCCTAAGTTTGTTTTTTCAAGAGCGAGTGAGCGAGGGAGAGGTCTTTCAAAGTATTTGCCACTTTGTTTTCTCCTGTCATTGATGGCAGTATCTTATTTCTTTGGCCTTTTCGTTGCAGGTCAGCTATGCCTGTGTCAAGATCACAGCTATCGCCCCACTGTCACTGCTCGAAAAGATGAGCTTGCTCCTGAGATGGCAGCACAGAAACCCAGAGGTGGAGCTTCCGTGGAAGCAGCAGGATGGATTGCCACTGTTCGCACCGGAGAGCCCGACTTACCACGCTCAGACTGAGCCCGAGCCACTGACCCGAGAAGAAGAGTCCAACTTGGTTCTAGCTCTCGAAAGACTGTCCAAGCTTTGCGAGTGCTGCGAGCTCCAAGGCCTTCCACTGCTGGTGGATGCCGAGTACACGTCCGTCCAGCCGGCCATCGATTACATCACCTACACCGCGGCTGTCAAGTTCAACCGAGGGAGTCAGCCGCTCGTCCACGGCACCATCCAAGCTTATCTCAAGGACTCGCTGTCGAGATTGGAGATGGTGGTCCACGAGACAACGAAACGAGGGATTCCTTTCGGCGTGAAGCTGGTGCGTGGAGCATATCTCTCTCGAGAGACGGCTCTCGCGAAGGTGCTCGGTGTCCCATCGCCGATCCACGCGAGCATCCAGGACACTCACCGCTGCTACGACCGCTGTGCTGCTTTCATGCTGGAGCAGGCTTCCCGGGGCCATGGATCCATCGTGCTCGCCACTCACAACTTCGAGTCAGGTACCAGCTCGCTCTTCCAACTTTCCAGGAGATTTTTTTTCTTTTGGATCATAGAACTAAGACTTGGATCTTGTGATCTTCCTTTCAGGCAAAGCTGCGGCGCACAAATCCGAGGAGCTTGGCATGAGACGAGGGGATTTGAGGGTCCACTTTGCGCAGCTCAAGGGAATGGCGGATGGGCTCTCGCTCTCGCTCGTCCAGGCCGGCTTCCAAGTGAGCAAGTACTTGCCGTTTGGGCCTGTGCCTCGAGTGATCCAGTACCTCATTCGAAGAGCCGAGGAGAACAGAGGATTGCTGGGAAATTCTCGAGACGACCGGCGTTGGATCAGCAAAGAACTGGCCGCGCGCTGGTTTGGATTGCCCAGAAACTAAAAAGAAATCTCTTTTTCATCGCATTTTAGGGTTCTTGGGCTTGTTTTAGGGTACCTCTTTTAGGGTTGTTGGGCATTCTCTTTTAGGGTTTTTGGCGATGGCGCTCAAGTTTCTCAACAAGAAGGGATGGCACACGGGGAGCCTGCGAAACATCGAGACGGTGTGGAAGGCCGAGCAGAAGCGCGACGTGGAGAATCGCAAGCTTGAGGAGCTCCAGAAGCAGATCAAGGAGGAGCAGGAGCATTTGGAGTTTCGCAAGCTCCAGGAGCAAGCGGGGCTGGTGCCGTAAGTATTGTAGCTAGATTTTCTTCGCGAGCGAGCGATTGAGTGATGCGAGAGCTTTGCTTGGTTCTTCCAGGAAGCAGGAGCGCTTGGATTTTCTATACGAATCCGGGCTGGGCGTTGGCAAGCCGTCGAATGAGGAGTATTTGCTTGGAAAGCCTCTGGAGGAATCGAAAGGGGAGAGCGTGATCCAGCAGGTGGCCGCCACGCCGGGATCGCTGTTCGTGGAGGAGAAGATCTCGGCTAATGACCAGTGGAGGAAAATTCGATCGGATCCTTTGCTCTTGATCAAGCAGCAAGAGCTGGCGGCTCGGGAGCGGATCAAGAACAATCCCTTGAAGATGGAAGCCTTGCGAAAAGAGGTACACACTTGGATTGCTTCCTTTGTTTCGTTTCTTCTTTGTTAGAATTGCCTGTCAACTCTTCCTAACTCGAAGATGTTTTGATTGTTTTTTTCAGGTAGAGACTAAGATCAAAGCGAAAGAGGAAAAGAAAGAGGAGAAGAAGCGATTGAAAGCACAGATCAAAGCCGAGGAGAAGCAGAAGAGGAAAGCGTTGAAGAAGATGATGAAGAACAACGATGGTCGCGATCGCGAGCCAGAAACAGAGATGGTCGACGGAGAAGACAGCCATAGCCATGCCAGGGAGAATGGCGAGGACAGGCATAGAAGCAGCAGAGCTTCCGAGGACGATGACAGGTATACTAGAAGAAAAAGATCTGCCAGAGACGACGACGACGAAAACAGGCACAGAAGCAAAAGAATCACTTCTTCGCAGGATGATCGACGAGATCCAAGCTCTTCGGAAAATGGTCGGCAAGATCCAAGGAGAGCTTTCGAGAGGGACGAACAAGAGAGGTATAGAAGCAAGCCAAGTACCGAGAACGATACGAGAAGCCGGAGGGAGAGACATGACAGTCCAGACATGGATGATAGGCAGCGCAGGCACGAAGACAGGCACAGGGAAAGCCGAGCTTTTGGAAAGCCACCGCTGCCGAGGAAGAAAGTGGAGCTGAGCGAGGAAGAGAAGATGGCGAGGCTGCGAGAGATGCAGCAGGACGCGGAGCTTCACGAGGAGCAGCGATGGCAGCGGATCAAAAAGGCGTCGGCGAGCGACGCGATCCAGGCGGAGAAGGACTCGATCAAGTCGTCGAGAAACTTTCTGGACGAGGCGAACAGGAGTGTGTATGGTGCCGAGGGCGGAGGAAACGCCTCGGTCGCGGATACTTTGCACCGGCGGTCGCATTACCGCGAGAAGTTCACGGACAAGAACGCGTTTCGAAGATCGTGAGAGAAAGTTCTTCTCGATCGATTGGAAGAAAGTTGGCAAGAACCAGATCGTGAAAGAGTTCTCGTTCTCGAGCGTGTCGTAAACTATCGATCGATTGGAAGAAAGTTGACAAGAAAGAGCATGAGGGTTGGTTTTGCCTATTTGGTCTAGATGTATGTTTTAAACATTGAAAGCTTAAATGGCTTTAACACCATCGGTTTCATGGTGTAGTTGGTCATCACGTCAGTCTAACACACTGAAGGTCTCCAGTTCGAACCTGGATGAAGCCAAGCTTTCTCCTTTTTCTCAACCCTAATTTTCAGAAAAGAGAATATACTTTTTGTCTTGTTTTTCCTAAGCCCTACTTTTTAAACAAGATTATACTTTTTCTCAACCCCGGTCAAGTCTTTGTTGACTAGGTCGTCACGCAAGACGCGGAAGCAAATGGCCAATCGAATGAGGACAATTTTCTCGTCTTCATCCTCTGGAATCTTTTGATCAAATCCACCCCATCCCTTCGATTTCTCTGACGCCAGGTAACTTGATCGCCGCGATCCCATGGATATCTTCACTTACGCTGGCAAGGTGAGGCTCCGCAGCGCCGCCCATCACGCCAAATACCTGGCCGCCGACTCCTCCAGCAATGGCGCCGTCTTCCAGGCCCGGGGTTCCAACAAGCACGACGATCCCTCCACAGTCTGGGAGGTGAAGAGGTTCCGCGACAGCCAGGCCACCCAAATCCGGCTGAGGAGCAGCTATGGCGGCTACTTGACGGGCTCGCACCACAACTTCCTCCTGGGATGGACGGGCAAGAAGGTTGTGCAGACCAATCCCACCAAGGCCGACGATCTGTGCGAGTGGGAGCCCATCCAGGATCTGGCAAAGCACGGAACGCTGATCAAGCTGAGAACACGGTACGGAACTTATCTTCGTGCCAACGGTGGAGCTCCGCCGTGGAGGAACACCATCACCCACGACTTTGATCGCGACGACGATGAGAATTTTCTGTGGGAGGTGGAGATCGTCCAGGAGAGGGACTACTCGGATATCCAGTTCTAGAGAAATGGAGAGAACCAACCTTTTAAAAAGAATAGAAGATCGATCATACGAGCGTGGAACGTAAGAAGAAGAAACCATTCTAAAGGAGATCCAGTTCTAGAAAATGACAGAGGGAACCAGTCTTTTAAGAAGAATAGAAGATCGCGAAGTAACAAAAAAAATTCGTTTTTTCTTGGAAGAGAAACAAGAGACAAGAAGAGCTCAAGAACTAGCTTCTTCAGCTCTCAATCGTTGCGTCGCCACGATCTCGCCGAATGTATCGACGAGCTGATGAGCCAGGCCGTGAGGGTCCGTAAGCAGCGTTCTCACGTACACGAAGATCATCTTCTTCTCCTCCACGCTGGCGCGGAAGCCCAGCCATGTCAAGAGCTTGAGCCGGAAGTCCGGCTGGAGATGGCCCTGGCGCTCCAGCCACACTATCACCTTGATGCTAAACTCGAGGCTCTTGTCAAGGTAGTCCTCGCTCCAGAAGTCACCACTGGTATCAACGTCGTTTTGAGGCTCCCCAAGCGAGAGATGATCGTCGATGATCTTCTTTCTCTTCTTCTCGGCTTGCCGCGGTCGATCCTGCTGCGCTTGAGTCTCGGGGATCACCTTTGCAAGCCTTTGTGGAGGAACGATCGTCTTCTTGCTCTTTTGCCGTATGAGCTTGTTCACGTTTTCATGTTGTACCACTCCATTTCGATGTTGCTCTCGATTCCTCTGGCTCCTGTCGCTGGGAAGGTCCTGGCTCTTGATCACTCCGCTTTGATGCTGCTCCCGGATCTGGTTCTTCTCTTGCTCGATCGCCTCATCCAAGTTTTGCTTTTGCTGCTGGATCGCATCGTTTTTCTCGATGGCTTTTTCTACCACCGGAGTAGGCTGCTGCTCCACGGTGTTTTTCTCGGGCACTTTATTCCCGACAAGATGGTTTTGCTGCTCGATCGCTTCGTTTTGCTCGATGACCACCAGAGCCACGTTGTTTTTCTCGGGCACTTCATCCCCGAAAAGATGGTTTTGCGGCTGGATCGCTTCACTTTGCTCGATGGTTTTTTCCGGAGTAGGCTGCTGCTCCACGTTGTTTTTCTCGGGCACTTTATCCCCAAAAAGATGGTTTTGCGGCTGGATCGCTTCACTTTGCTCGATGGCTCTTTCCGGAGTAGGCTGCTGCTCCACGTTGTTTTTCTCGGGCACTTTATCCCCGAAAAGATGGTTTATCGCTTCGTTTTCTAACACCGGAGTAGGCTGCTCCTCCACGTTGTTTAACTCGAGCACTGTATCCCCGATTTGCGGCTGGATCGTCTTCATTTGCTCGATGACCTTTTCTGCGACCACTTTATCCGCGACAAGATGGTTTTGTAGTTGTATTGTGCTTTCCACTTCATCCTTTTGCTGAGTATGTTTCTCGATCACGTCATCCACTTCAGCATGGTCAGCATGGTCATGCTCCTGGATCGTCTTCTTTTGATCGTCAACGTTTTCTGCCACCATAGTATCTTGTTGCTCCATCACCAACTTATGGCTTTTACTTATCGTCGGAGCATCCATCTCCTTCTGGCTCACTTCATCCACGACATCGTCATGGCCTTGCTGCTGGATCGTCTCCTTTTCCTCGTTAGCGCATCCCACAACCGGAGAATCCATGCTGCTCTTCTCGAGTTTCTCGATCACTATCCGTTGTTTCGGGGTTTGCAGCGGAAGACTTTCTTTCTCGTGTACCCGAGACTTGTTTAGATCAATCCTCTCTCGATCCTCCACGTCCTTGAGCACCTCATCCATGTCCTCGGAACAATACAGCCTCTTTGCAACCGACTTCGAGCCTTGAGAATCATTTTTCTTCTGAGAGGACGGCACCGTCTCTGATATAACGTGCTTCTCTTCCTCAACGGTGGTTGCATTCGCTTCTTCCACGGGTACAGAGAATAGCTCCCCACTTGCCGGGCTGTGTAACTGTGAACCTAGTGCGTTCCTCATCGTCGTGGCAGTACCATCACCATGAAAAAACTTGCCAACCTCACGTATCCGGAAACTTAGATCACCCTTTCCGCCATCTAGCAACTTGTGAAATGGCTCAAGATCATGATCCAGTCTAGGAGTGGAAAACCGAGCCTCAATCCGACCAAACTCACCGGACCCTGTCAATGGAACAAGCCTTAGCTCGTAGTCTACTCCGGGGTATAAGCCAGTTACCACAGCCTTCGTCACTTCCCCACCTGGTACGCTACAAACTGGACCCTCTGGGAAGTTACTTGCACCAGCTGCCCGACACCATACGCTGTGACCGATCACTTCATCTCCCAGTGTATTCTCAGTGCCACTCCATGAAACCACTGCCGACTCGGGCGTTACTTGCTCGATGTGAGTTTTATAGATGCGCTCCAGTGCTCCCCCTGTGTAGCCAGCTAAAACTAAATACGAGAGCAAAAACAAAAAAAGAAAGGTCTCACCTTTCGTCACGAAAATCCTTTGCGTCTCTTGCTCTACGGGCCAAGACGAGGCCTTCTTAATGGCATTCTCGATCTGGTTCTGGACGTGTACGCCGCAGGATAGTCTCGTCACTAAACCCCGAGTGCGCATTGCAGCAGCCAGACCACCGGGGCCTAGTTCTTTTTCCAAGGCTCTTACCGCATCGGCAACCATGTCGTGAAGGTTTTTATATCGCAGAGTGCCATCCAAGAGACGAAAAGCCAACGAGAGTCGAGTTGTAAAAACGTCGATTCGTCGTGCATTCTTGGCGACAGAGAGTAGCCTTCTCCAGCATCTGGAAACAAAAAACAAAAAAAAAGATAAAGAACGATTGAAAAATATATATTCGTTCAGCTTACCCAAGCAAGCAACTGATGAAGCCACAATTCACGCAAGAAAAGCTTCCGTCCAGCTGAATCGTGTTTCCCCGCTTCACGACTCCAGCAGCTCGCAGCTTGAGGCCGCACTCCAAGTGGCAGGAAGCACCACAGCTTCTGTATTTCTCTCCACCGCATTCTATCCACAGGCATGGATCCTTGTTGTCGTCGAAACGCTTGCAAATGCAACAAGAACAGCGCCTGCAAAACTCCTCCTTGCCACTCAGCTTTGCTCGGCATGCAGCGTTCCCGCAAAGACGATCCTGGAAGCCACCTTGGTCAAGAGCTGGCAAACGACGAACTTTCTCGCCTTTCCTGGATCGCTTTCTCAGAGTCTGAAAGACTGGAGTCTCTGTCGCTCGGGTTGGACGTGGTAAGTCTTCTACTGCTGGTCCCGGCCTTGATTTTTCTTTAACTCGCTCTTTACGTGAAACCGGACACTTCTCCTTCGGCCCTGTTTCAATCCGCAGCAGTCGCTGAATCAGCCTCGGCCTGGAATAATTTGCGTATTTGTTGATCCCTCCGATCCGATAGTTCAAGTACTGCTGGAGCTGGCTCCTGGACCAATTCTCGAAACTGGCATGGCCTTTCGGGACCACTGGACAGTTCCCGTGGTGAGCAACATCCGCGAGAATTTTTAAAGCTGGATCGAGAAAAAAGAAAGAATAAAGGAGCTGTTAGACAAAACCAAAGCTGCTGTTCTACTCACTAGACTGTGCTGCAGGAAACACTTCCACGTTTCCCTCCGCGGACGCTCTTGCCATCACGAAAACCAAGTCCTCATATTTGCTCTCTCGATTCTCCTGTCCACAAGAAAAAACCAAGGGAATTTTTCTCAAAACTCTGATAAAATAATTGATCGCGATCGCGAAGTTACACCTAAATCTACACTAAGCCTCACGGCATTGTCCCTATCGAAAGATTACCCGACGATTTCTCCCAAATCCAAGAAGATGTAAACAAGAAACTAAGAATCGTCCGCCCTCTTGCATACCTCGGCAAGGACGAGGAAGTCGCGACGTCAGCGTGGAAGCAATGCAAGGATTCGAGGCCCCAGCTTGGAATGCGCCACGCTCCAGCGGCGCACTCCACGCGCCGCGAAAGAGAGAGCCAACCAAAATGTAAAATTTAGGGCTCATGCTACAAATTTAGGGCTGGAGAGGTTAGGTATATTCTCTCTTTCGAACTGAGAATATACTTACTTTTGTAAGGGTTGTAAATACAACAAATTTAGGGCTAGATCATGTACTTACTTTTTTAAGGGCTGTATAGATAGTGCTTATAGTAATGTGTGGGTGATATTCACGATGGAGCTCTTGATTTCTAGTAAAGTCCATTTCTTGTGGAAGGATAGCAATGTCTTTGGCAGGCAGAAATTCTCCAAGAATTACTTATATTTGAATCGCGACACAGCCAATTGCAGGATTGCTGCTGTTGCTCCTCTCAAACTGGTGGAATTTGCTGCCAATCTTCCCTCTTTCAACAGTGATGTGCTGTTCACATCTCTGGGAGCTTCTGCTAGCATCTTCAGTGCTTGTGGTAAATCCTTTCCACCAAGAAATTAGTCCCCCTTTAATGCGATTTCCCAGTGCAGCTCTGATAACATGGCTTCAAAGGTCTGAATTTCTTCCTGCAGAGACACCAGTGGTTTTAAGCCAGGTTTGGTCTTAAGTATTTGTATCTAATATTTAATTTACTATTGCAACAAAGGTGGCATTTCGAGTTCTGATTCCCTGCTACCTTATGTCGAAGGTATATTTTCATTAACAGCTCTTTAGAGTTATTTTGTGCCTATAACTTTAAGGCTTTGTTTTGTGTACTCTAGGTATCTACCGTTCTTGCAATGCACCATACAGGAATTAATATAGCTGCGATCCCCTTGATCGCAATTGCCCAGGTACTTTGAAAGATGTTTCTTACGAAAACTTGGAGTAATCATGCATGATAATACAACACAGATTTCGGCTGGAGCTTTGCTTGGCAAACTTGCTTGCGCTACTTTGTATCATATTCCAAACACCACCAGAAAACAATTGTCAGCCAAAGTTCTAGCTAAAAAGGAAGCTCTCGTGACGATTTCTTGTGCATTTGGCAACACACTTTCACTTCCACTCGTGAGCTGTTCCTTAAAGAGGTTTTCAACACGATCTTAGTAATAAAACAGGTTTTTATCAGAGGAATTCTGTCTCCTCGAGATGCAAGCCTTGCATCAGGGTAAGAATTCAATGTCTATCAGCTCTAACCAATTCTTTCCTTTCAGCTATCTCGCATTGTTCATTGTTGGATGGTCTCCATTTTTGTGGACTGTAGCGTATCAAATTCTATCTTCTTCAGTCCAGAGCCAAGAAATTCCAGAGAAACAGAAACATTTTGTGGACAGTATTATCAGGTGGTACAAACGTCTCTTGAATCCTCCATTATTTGGAGTAAGTTAATTCCATCACCATAAAGCCATATATGTTTTCTTTTACTTATTATTTTCTTTTCAGGTTCTACTAGGCACCGTACTTGGCCTCTCCCCTGTATCAAAATTCCTGACTCTTGACGACTCCTCTGCAAACGTTCCGCTTGTCTGGAAAATATTTCATCCAGTTTATGATGTAAGCTTCATAGATGACAATAGTTTTGACAATAATCTGAACAAGTTGATCATGTGTCTCCATTTGTTTCAGGCAGGATCATTCCTGGGATCAGCAGCACCAGCAATCCAAGTTATTGTCTTGGCTTGCTCATTGGCCGGAGTTATGAAGTCTCGGAGCGCAAAGTTACCTCATTTCTGGGGACCCAGGAAGATCAAGTCGCTTGCTCCTGCACTGGCAGTGACGGATTCCAGTGTATCTAGTAGCAACCATGAATCATCACCAACTTTGATCGGACGCAAAGAACTGGTGGCAATCTGTTTCGTGAGATGGCTGATACTTCCACTTTTCTTCTCTACAGCTCTATCAGTTGAGTCGTGTACTACTAAATAGCTATGCTAACTCTTCTAATTTAGATTGCGGAGAGGATGAAGGTCTTGACGATGGATCCCATATGCAAGATCACTCTACTGGTATGGTATTTTTCTTTTAAAAAAAAATAAAACTTGTGCATTGTATTTCTTAACAGGTCCTTTCTTCAATGCCATCAGCACAGAACTTAGTTGTTCTTGCCCAGGTATGAAATTTCAAATATCATTATTATTGTTTTAATTGCTATATACTTGTCATACTTAAAACAGCTGCGTCCCTCCACAAGGCCACTTGCAAAAGAGTTGGCAAAACTGTTGCTGTTTCAGGTAAGAGCCATTCTAGTTTGCTTACAAATTCTGAGAATCCTGCTTAAAAGTATATTGGAGCCCTGGTACCAATCACACTCTGGCTCGCAGTCTTCATGTCAATGGTATCTAGCTGATTGAGTATCAATCTTTCAAATGTATAAAGTCTTAAGCTTTTTTAAAGAGAGTACAAATCGCAGAATTTCAAAATTTAGTGCTGTCAGTGAGCGTGAGCACAAGTTCCGCGTTAAGTTCTTGATATAAACGCTCTCTATCGTTTCAACTCCAGGAATTTCAATTTCGTAGATATGTCCCTAGCGATTTGTGATGCGCCAGTGCCAAAGTTTGTCGTGGGTCTAGATTTTGGAACCACATACTCTGGTTTTGCTTATGCACATCGCATCGACACAAAGGACGTCAATCTCTTATACGATTGGCCGTGCTCTCCGAGGCCCTATTGCAAGACACAGACGAGCCTCTTCTACACGCCAGGCAGAGAAGACGATTCGTTCAAGCTCGAAGACTGGGGCTGGGCTGCAACGAAGAAGTTCATGGAGTCAAGACCCTCATCGCAGGATGAGATCGGTTTCCTTGCCAACAAATTCAAGCTGAGGCTAGCGGAAGATTTTAGCGACGGGAACAAGGCCATCCAAGACTCTTTTGCTGGTAGGTTGGAAGTTGAGAGGCTTGTGGTCGATTATCTCGCTTCGATCTCCAAGTTCATTGTCGAGCATCTCAAAGGAACTTATGGTCAAAGCTTTAGCGCGAGGGATGTGCAGTGGTGCCTCACAGTTCCCGCAATCTGGAGCGACAAGGCGAAGCATAAGATGCAAGTCTATGCCGAGAAGGCCAAGCTCGTAAGAGGTAAGTTTTGCTCCAGCTCCAAAGCGAGCATGTATCCCCTGAGGATAATACTGGAGCCAGAGGCGGCCTCGTTTTCGTGCCAGATGGAGCTGGGCCGCATCATCTCGCTAGCTCCAGGGGACAAGTTCCTGGTGGCGGATGTTGGTGGTGGAACAATCGATATAGTAGTGCACGAGAAGGAGAGCAGCGCTCCAGGGAAGCACGAGGTCCATGAGGTGTCCGCTAGCTCAGGAGAGCTCGGGGGTGGAACTTATGTCGACAGAAACTTCATGGAATTCCTTGAGAAAAAGATTGGTTGCTTCAGAAGATTTTGCCAGCAGGAGCAAGCTATTGTCTACCACCGCATCTTGATGTGGTGGCTGGGGCCTGACGGTAAGTGTACGTTCAATGGATCGTGTCCAAAGTTATTGGAAGTACCGAAGAAGTTGTCGAAAGCATGGAAGAAGCATGACAAAACTGTACGGGGTTTTGCTGAGGACGATGACTATTACGACGAGATCAAGATCTGTTGTGAGCAGATGGAAGCAATCTTTGACACCGAGGTCGACAAAACCATCCGTTTGATCCAGGAGAAACTTGACAAAGTTGACGACATCAAGTACATATTTCTGGTTGGGGGATTTGCCTCGAGTCCGTATCTGCGGAGCAGAATCAAGAATCGCTTCGAGGGCGTGGCGAGAGTGGTTTCTCATCCGAATCCGGGTGGTGCAATCTGTAGCGGTGCCGTGGCTCTTGGTTATGGAACAGGCGTTGTGCTCTCGAGAATCTCCAAACATTCGTATGGCATTTACTCGTCTCGCAACTTCCATTGGAATGATCCACCTGCGTACAAGTTTTTTGACGACGATGGGTTGAAAAAATGCGACAACATCTTCAGCCTGTTTGTGAAGAAAGAGGAGTCTGTCTCGGTCAATCAGTCCGTAACACACCCTTATTTTCCGATATTCCGGCATCAGAAGGTACTGAAGATTGCCTTGTTCAGCTCCAGCAGTGACTTCACTCCCATGTACACGACCGACGAAGGGTGTGTAGAGCTTGATAGCTACAAATTCGACATTGGCGAGGATCTACACATGGGAACGAGACGTGAGGTGGAGGTGACAATGTTTTTCGGTCGGAGCACCATCGAGATATCTGCCCGGCGCGTCAACTTTGGAAGCAACCGTGAGTCCGAGAAGCTCTACTTTGTGGAATTTGATGCCCCTGAAGCGTATGTGAACAAAGTGAGTGAGTGAGGACAGTGTAGATCAAAGCATTGAGCTAAGAATTTAATCCTCAGATTCTCTCTACTTCAATTTGGGGCCAGAAACGAGCATTCTTTGTGGACAAGACCAGGCCTTTGTAAGATACCTAGGATTGTAGTATTTGGATGGAGTATATGGATGGTTGAAGAGGCTCTCGGCGCTACCAGGCATCTCCGAGAGCGAGCTAGAGTCAATCCCGGCGTCCATCCATAAGGCAGGGGGCGTCCGCCGGAGCGGAGACCGTGGTCAACTAGGTGGACAATGTGGCGATCATACTTCAGGGCCTTCCTCCCGCCAGCCCATCACGACGAAGTGCTCCATGATGCTTTCCAGAGATTCCTCAAGCGCAAAGGTACTACGAGCGAGCTTGCGCGAGGATGGAAAGTAGGACCAAGGCTTGCATGGCCAGGAGATCTTGGAAACGTTGGCGGCCGTGGACACGAGCAGCGCCATCGCCTATTTGCTATCGAACCTTCGAGGCTGGAGCTGGTGGAGATGGAAATGCGGGACAGGAACGCAGAGCTAGAGGCCGCCAAGGCACCGAAAGAACAATACAGACGTGTGGATAGCGGAGAACTCATGCTCCAGCTTGCCATCGGCCGGGTGTTGGGGCAAGGAAAGATGCTACCGCACATCGAGATCGGGAGTGTGGCTCTCCAGCGACACGCCGGACTTGGTGAAGAAACAAGCCGGTGCCTCGGGAGTGACTTGGGAGCTTGTGAGTCTTGCGGGGGAGCTAGAAGAGGACTTGGACATTCCTCGTCAGCTTGACAGCGCAGTAGGAGCCGGTTATTTCGCTGCTTCGCGGTAGAGGTCAACTTCGTTGACCACGTTGTCTCTAGGGTGGCGTCCCCTCTTCTTAGGAAGGTTATCTGCGCGTTGAGGGAGCTGTTTTCTACCGGCTTGACGTGACATATATCTAAATGGGGTGGTTGCTTGAGTACCCAATAAATAGATAGATATTGCTGCCAAACCTCAAACTCTTCCTAGGTGCTATTTACATCCTTAGACGTTTCTGCTAGTATCTTCAGTGATCCATTTTAACTTTATTTTGGTTCTTAGAAGCTCATTCAAACTTTATATATCTGGAATATACTTGAACATTTTGGGATATTCTATTATTTAATAGCTAATATTGATTTAATCTTGTGTTTATAATTTATAAACTTTTTCAATCAATTTCTAGTATATTCTAGTTTATTTACCTCTAATGGTAATAAGTGTTTACAAATTATAATTAATGATCAATTGTAAGAATGCTGTGAACTGTTTTCTCTGTGGTGTTCATGGATTGTGAACTTGATGATCCTAGAGATCTAATAGCCATGCTCTGTCCATTTGCTCTTTTGTGTGTTTTTTTTAGGTGGTTTAGAGGCACTAAATGATGTCATTCAGCAAATAATACCAAATAGGAATAACATTACTATTAAGCAAACTAAAAGTATGCAAAATTATCTATAGCTTTTTATGTTATATATTATTAAAAATCTTTTCCATTAGGGATATAATTAGGTTTAATAAATAAAATAACTTATTTCCATTTATTCTAACAGTGTTTCTTAAAATTTCTTTAATTAATTTGTAATATTTACTTATCACTAATATAACCATTATAAAAGATAAAGAAAGCTATGAAGTTATTTTTTTTGCTTCATGGCTAGAACTTAAAAAATAACAAGTGAAACTACTTAACTATGTAAGAATATTTTTAGCAGAATTTTAATTCCCATCCTTTGAATGTTCATAAAACCATTAGGAAGAATTGCCATAACTCCCACTTTCTACATCTAAAACTCTATATAATCCTCTAAGTTAAAAGCAGGCATATAATGTCTTAAAATAAAGCTATATAAACTTTAAAACTAAATCATCATTAAGCTCTCCACACTTATAGTTTCTTTATATAGTTTAGAGCACTTGAATAAAATCTAACCTATTTATATTTTAAACATTGTCTAGAAGATTAATATTTTGATGGTTAAACACTTAAGAATTTAAGAGAGTGAAGATTATAAATTGGAATTGCTGCTATGCAATGCCTTAATCTAAACAAGTGTTTAACTTTATAAGGTGCTTAGCATTTATGTATTCTAAGAAGTATATATTTAAAGACAAAGTACTATTATATATCATATATGAAAATTGCATAAAAAACTAAAAGTGTGAGTGCTCAGGAAGAAATTATATTGTTTCTTAGTGTAAAAAGTTATTTCCAAAATAGTTTCAATTTAGATTCTAGTGTAATATATGATAACAATTACAAACGTGGATCATATTTATTATAGGATTTTTTTCTCATAATGTGTAATACATTAATACAAGCTATAAGTTAGAATGGATAAAAATTTAAATATAATATATAATTAATTTTAATTTAGATTTATATGGATATGTCTTTGTTAACTAAGCTGTAAATTAAAATTTACAATAGCAATTTCAACGTTTGAAAAAACAATTGTTTTATATTACACTTTATTATATTATCTATCTTAGTAGGAATAATTAAAAACTCTACTACATTATTATGAAAATAAATATTTTTATAAAACTTATTTTTATAGTTTTTATTTAAGCATAATCTTAAGTTTTATAATTAATTAATTGTTTTCAAAGTAAGCTAGTATGAAGAATTCTAATATTTTATCTAGTTTAAACAAAAACAATTTATCATAGGATTTTAAGACCGTAATTATATTGCAATTATAAAAAATTTCTTTCTCTGTCATAAAAATAAATATGTCAGATTACATTTTTTAAAAATGTTATATTTACTATTTATATATTTAAATATTTAAAAATATATATAATAATATAATTGTTTTAATGAAATAAGGATAATAACTATGTTTATAGAGTTCCTTTTCGCAAAAACTGTGGCAAGCTGAGAGCAAATGACAAGCTGCTCAAAACATTCAAATGTATGTACCTGGGTTTTTATACCATGACTAATATTGTGAAAGCTAATGGTAAATAATTATTTAATTTAGCTTGTTTAACTGTTTTATACTTTTGTTTTTAAAAGATTTTAACATAAGTCTAGTCACATTTTTTTTTGGAGAGGTATTGTTTATCACTTTAAAAATGCAAAGACTAAAAATTGTTGGAAAATGAAATATGAAGAATTTTAATATTTTACTTAACAAAAAGTTTATCATAGGATTTTAAGAACATAATTAATATGAAATTACAAAAATTATCTTTCTCTGTCATAAAAATAAATATGTCAGATTATATTTTTTAGAAAATTGTTTATTTACTATTTATATATTTAAATATTTAAAATTATGTTATAATAATATAATTGTCTTTATGAAATAGCAATTATTTATATTGTATCCGATATTAAATAATAAAATTATGCTATAACAATATAATTGTCTTTATATATATATATATATATATATATATATATATATATATATATGAGAATCTAGTTTTAAATATAACAGACAGTCAAAGTATTTTACACCTTTTTGAAATATCTTAAGTTGTAATGTTTTTAGCTTTTTAAATATATAAATCATAACTTTATTTAGACTACATTTTATTTACATTTAAAGTAGTATTCTTTATTTTCTAACATATTACCGTGTCACACTCAAACTTGATAACCATTCTCTCTGCACCTATAATCAAGAGTAGGATGTGGATTGACGGCTCTACTTTGTTTGTCTTGAACTCCTCATCCAATGGCCCACAACACATCAACTCATAAGGGGTAAAAAATGTAACACGAATCTTTAAATTATTCTTTGGCACCTCAATAGAGTAGGACAACGTATAACTTGCCACACGAAATCACGAAATCACATCGAATCTCCCCGCAGTGCACTGCCAGGGAATAGGACAATCCCGCAAGCATATTCCGCCATAGGGCAGCGAATATGTCGTCAAATACCCAAGACCGTTTGTTGTCAAAATGGATTATTTTATGGGGTAGAATAAGTTTTCTAAACCCCTAAAATCCCCTGCCCAATTTCTCCACCACTGGTTTGTGGAGAGAGAAGGGAACCATCGCTACGCTCCTCCTGTGCTATCCTCGTCTTACATTGGTTTGAATGGACGGCCCACATTAACCAGGGCACACGCCTGCCTATTGCTTGCGTTTTCTCTCTCTCTCTCTCTCTCTCTCTCTCCCTCACTCTCTTCTCCCTCTCCGCCCGCCTTGTTCTTCCACACTGGACCATCGATTCATCATCGGCGACTCCGACGCGTTGGATTCGATCGGCAACAGTTCTTTGGCGTCGCGCGGCGGGTTAGAATCTCTCGTTTTTGCTCCCAGATTTGTGGATTTTGTCCATCGATTCCGGCCTAGGAGCTGAATCCGCTGCGAGCTTGGTGAGAGAGCGTGTTCTTCTCGTTCTTTTTTCCTTTTTTTCTGTGAATATTTCCTCGCCGCGCCCGCTTTCTCGTGATTTTATTTCATCATCCAAGTCGCTTTTCAATGCGGTGTCCGCCGTTGAGAGAGTAGGACCTCGATTCATTCATTCAGTCCGGGTGGCTGTGTGGTTTGATCAATAATTTCCTTGTCCGGGCACGCATTTGATTTTAGAGTCGCAGTCAGCAGTTTTGTCTCGAGAATCTGATTGAAGCGCTCATCGTTTAGAAATAGAGTGAGAGTCTATAGCGAAGTGATGCGAGGGTCTAGATAGAAAAGAGCGAAAGAAAAAAACAACAACTACGATGGCTCCAAGAGCCACTTCCAAGTCGAAGAATCACAAATCCAAGGGAGAGAAGAAGAAGAAAGAAGACAAGCGTAAGCTGACCAAGCTCTTTTATATTCCTGTTTCTCGTCTTCTTCGTTTACTGATTCGTTGCTTTCATTCGTGCAGTGCTTCCTACCGTTCTCGATGTTCTGGTTTATCTCCCAAGTGGCGACGAAATAATTCTCAAGGTAAGGCTTTTCCTTCTCTTGATATCGTACTCAGGCTTTCCATTGTTCGTGGTACCAGGGGATTTCTACTGATCGAATCCTGGATGTGCGCAAGCTT